TCAAGGAGGGTAGGAATGCATACCCAAATGACGTCGAAACTTTTCAAACCGATTCGCATCCAACGCCTTTTGATTTTCCTTGGGCATCCACACCAATATGACTTTAACAATCTGCTTCAGTCCTTCCGTAGGCCATCGAATGTTTCTTCCATACATTACATCTTTTGCCAATTTGAAACATTTTGCAGTTGTATGTCCAAGACATCTGCAGTATCCGCACTCGTTACGTCGTGATGACATCCGTCTAACATTCTGTGTCCTTCTACAATTTTTCTCCCAATTTCTGTTTCTGTCTCTTTTCAAATTCTGCTTCACAACTAGGATTTGCTTCTTTTCTGGAATTTCGACATCAGTAAGAAGTCCACCATGAACAAATTTTTTTCGTTTGCTTTTAGAGGATTCACAAAAACCCAATCCTTTGTGATCACCGAATGGTTTACCAATTGAAAGAACTTCATCTAATTTTTCCTTTCCTTTTTTAAGTCTATCATTTTCATCCTTCAACTTCAGATTCTCATACTTCAACTTCTCTGATTCAGCAGATTTATCATCAATAATCTTCCTCAACTTCTTAAGTTCATCCTCAAGCTTCTCTTTTTTATCTTCCAAACGATAAATGGTATCCAAGAGTTCTTTATTTTTCACCACAACTTTCTTTTGTTCGACTACCATTTCCTCATAAGCTTCGATCAACTCCTCAGCATCAAGTTCCCTTGACTCATCAGTAGTTATAAACTGGATTTTTCCTTTTCAGCACTGCTTTCATCAGCATTTGCCATAAATGCAACTTCTTTATGATTTTCAGTCTATTCATCACCACCAGCATATTCGCCATCTTCATTGTCACTTCAGGTAGCTTGATATGCTATTTTCTCTCTTTTATTTACTGTTGGACATTCAGACTTGATATGACAAATTCCTCCACATCCATAGCAAGTTGGTTCTTGAACCGTCTCAGGTTTTGCAGACACCACAAACTTCTTGTTGAATCTACCATCGAATCTTTCTTTTGGCTTGTTGTAAGTAGTTGGTTTCTGCTCAGGGTATTTTCGTTGTGAGTTGGATGTACTTACTCCCTGATAGCCATTTCTATTTTGGAACTTCCCATACTTCAGCTTGGCAGCTCATTTCTCACTAATCATTCGAGAAAGTTTACGACTCAGCAGTACTATTTCTTTATTAGACTCTATCAGCTCCATGTCTTCAGCACTCAACGCCATACTTTTAGGTGCTTTATCTTGGAGATAATTCATTTCATAGCTCACCAATGTACCATATAGTTCATCCAATGTCATATATTTAAGCCTTGGTGGTTCATCGAGCATAATCACCTTTGGCCTGAAATTTTTTGTGAGACTTTTAAGCATCTTCCTCACCAGTTTCTTCTCTTCAAAGTGTATCCAAGAGCTTCAGCTTGATTTCAACATCCATAAATCAATTATAGTAAACAACAATGGTTTCATCTTCATTCATCTTCATCCCTTCGAATAAAGTTTCAACATGATCCAGCTTTGATTCTCGAACTTGCACAAAACCTTCGAATGCATTTTCCAAAATGTCCCAAGCTTCCTTAGCAATTTTGCAGTTGGATATCAGCTTCGTCTGAGTTTCATCTACAGTATTAAAGATCGAAAATAGAGCTTTCGAGTTGGCGATTGCAGCAGCCTTTTCATTTAGAGTCCATTCTCTTTTTGATTTCTTCACAAGAGATGTAATACCATCTTCATCTTGGATGGTCTTCACGGGATGAGACCATGCAGACTCAACAGCATCAGAAACATCTTTACCTTGTAACATAAAAAAAGCTTCCATTTTGTTCTTTCAACTTCGATAACTTGTCCCATCGAACAATAGAGGTCTCGACGTAAAACGGCCTTCCTTACTCATCTTTGCAACTGTGAAAGAACCTACTCAGCAACTTAGAGAATACTGCTCTGATACCAAATGTTGGGAAGAATAAATGTTGCACCAATATTCCTTTCGAGCACCTATCCAAGGGCCAACTCCCGAAGCGTAGTTATCTCACAGTTATAATAGCGTCTTCTCAACAAAATAAATGCAGTAGCCAAAATAATAAATGACAAGATATTTGGTAACCCGGTTCAGTTATGACCAACTTACATCAGGAGGATTCCAATTCATGAGAGGTTCACTAATCAGTGCTGATTAAGAACAAAACATCCAAAACTTTTTCAACCCAAACTACAATGTTGATTACCTAGGAAAATCCCTCCACATGCATACGTTGTCACAAACGCATACTAACAACTAACAAATAGCTGGGCTGCTCAAATTTTAAATGTTCCCCTTATCGGAACTCCGATTTCCCTTGGACCGACGAACTCTCTGGCAAGATAGCAGTGTATATCACACACTCAATGCATGGAGATGGGAAGGGTTGAGGTTGAGAGGATTGTTACAATTTTTCTCTCACTACAAACACTCTCAAAACCACCACACTCACCTCCCACAAATCTCGAGCTGTGTAAGGTAGTCACAGCAAGCATGTTACAGACATGCAATTAATTCCCTTAAACCAAAAAAAGGAATGGTGTGTTTCTATACTCTTCTGACCAAAAGATGACAAACTCAAAGTGTCCATTTTGTCTTGAGAAACAACTATCATAAGAAAGACAAATAAATACAACTTGATGGGACTGCACAAGTTGTGTCAGATGTTGTTGTTTATAGGTTCTGACGACAACAGCAGCACAAAGATGATTTGTCAATATGTCAAAAATAGGTGATGGGGTTTTTCAACTTAACATACTTGTATACAACACACTTGTTATTATTTAAAAACAGCACATACTTTTATTATACACAGCATGTTGTGTATAATACTAATGTGTCTTGTTTGTATATATAATGTGTGCTAATGTGAAAAATTAGAATGGTGAGCAACCTAACCATTCCCTAAAATAATAGTCTAATTTATATAAATAAATATATTACAATAAAACTTTTATTATCTTTTCATTATATTTATACAAATTTCACTACCTTTTACATCACTGCATTCGTAACGGCAAAAAAGTTTTTTACTCATATTTTTTACCAACTATCAATATAATATCTATATTCTTATATAAAAAAATTTAAAAAAATAATATAAATAGTAATTATAATTATACTAATATATTTTAAAATATATTTTTTTATCATATATTAAATTAATATTTTATTTTCATACCAACAATCAATATTATTTATTATATATTTTTGTTTTTATGACACAAGTATTTAAATTAATAATATTTAATTAATTAATAATAGTGAACTAATATAATTTTATTTTTTAATATAATTAATAATAAGCAAAATAGCATAAAATCCCCTGTGGTTTGGTGAATTTGCTAAAAATTCCTTGTGGTCCGAAAATTCCGTAAAATTTACTTGTGGTTTCTAAAATGTTGCAAAAAATACCCCCACCGTTAATATTTAACGGAGATTGTATTGTACGCGCGATCACTGTATGCATTATTGACAATTTACATAATATATGAAGGAAAGTTAGAAAATTACCCTTCATTCTCCAATAATTTACCTAATTATCATTCTTCTCTTCCGAATTTTCTCTTCTGATGATAAGTCAGACTTCGCTCCTCCCTATTCTAGCCTCAGTCTCAGCCTCTTCTCTCCGCCGCCTGCGCGGAGTCCGACCGCCACGAGCATCTTCTTGTTTTTCGCCCAAACCCAAAAATCAACCCTCTCAGGTTGCCATCTAGATCTGTTCTGCGTTGTAATGGGTCGGATTACGGGTCGGGTCAAGTACGATTTTTCGGAATTGGGCTGGCAAGATCGCGCTTAAACGGAATTGGAAATATGAGACGAGATATTCTTTGGGTGATTTTCATTACTTCTATTTTAAAGAAATTTATTTGATTTAATATTAAAAATTTATTGTTTCAATTCTATTCTTTTTTTATCCTCACATATTCCTGATTCTTCATTCCCAAATTTAATTTTTGTGTGTGTTTTGAATCAAGGATTTATGATATATTTTTTTTTATTTAGATTACACCCAAATTTGATGTTACAATGCAATTAGAATAATAAGTGTTGTTGCATACTGTATTTTATACACAGGATAGAAAAATATATAGAGAGAGGAGGGGGAAGGAAGAAGGGTTATGTAAATAGAGAAAAAGAAGAAGATGACGGAAGAAGAAGATGAGGGAAAGAGGGAAGAGAGGAAAAAAAAATGGATTGAGAAGGACGAACCGGCCAGGAAGAAGAAAGATAATTTAGAGAGGGGTATAACGGTCAATGTGTATAAAAATTTAACACCGGCGAATGTGCAACATTTTAGAAACCACAAGTATATTTTATGGAATTTTTGGACCACAGAGGATTTTCAACAAATTGAGCTAACCATGGGGGATTTTATGCTATTTTGCAAATTGAGCAAATTGACACATGTCGTGTTCAATACCTCTGTTTAATCTTTAGGTGGTGTTTGGTACATAGAATAGAATTGATAAATAAATGATAGTAGAGAATAGAATTAGAAATTGAGAAATATAAAAAAATAAAATAAAATACAGCTATATAAATGGATCAGACAATAATAAATTATTAACGGGATAAAAAAAAAGTTCTAAGAAAAATATTTTTGGTGAATTTTTTAAAAAAAATCATAAATTATATATGATATATTTTAACATTATATTTTAGTACAATTTTTTACAAAATCATAAAAATTAAATACTTTAACAGTAAATTAAATTAGATTTTTGTAAAATTAAAATAATATAATTTTTAAAAAATACAAAAATTAAATAGTACAAAAAAAAAAAAGATAAAAAAAAATAATTTAAAAAAATATACTGCATCATCGTATAAATAAGAACAGTTATTTCTCAAGTTCCACAGGCAAGAAATTTCAAACAATAGAAATGGGACCACTTTTATTTGTCTGGTCTCATTTATACGTACCAAACACACCCTGTTTTTATTTATGTAGGTTCCAGATTTCATGGCATTTCATTACATAAAAATGAAAAAAATACATGAAACGTTAAAGCTGATGTGATAGAAACAGAGTACAAAGTACAAACGACACAAAAGTGAAAAGGCTATGAACATAAAACATTACAGCAACGCCAACCGAGATGAGTTCAACTCCAACGACAAATATGGTAAAAGCTCTCTCTCTCTCTCTCTCTCTCTCTCTCTCTCTCTCTCTCTCTCTCTCTCTCTCTCTCTCTCTATATATATATATATATATATTGTATATATAATAATACTCCCTCCATAAAATAGACTCAAACTAGACTCGACAGTTACCCCAAGAATGAACCAAATTAAGCATAGCATACAAAAACCCCCTTCTTGCTTGTTACCATTGCATTGTCGATTGTACACACTTATTATTACTATTACTACCACTGTCATAACAATAACAATAACAAACATCCACAGACCAAATTTTTACCACATCTCGACCCGACCCGACCCGGAGTATCGGCTAATTAGAGTGCGCGGCGGCGCCTATCTATTCAAGGCATCAGACGGTTAGTGGCCATCCGTTTCTTCCTTAGCCTCTCCGCCACGATGAAAGCAAGCTCGAGCGACTGAGACGCATTCAGCCTCGGGTCGCAGTGGGTGTGGTAGCGGGAGCTCAGGTCATCGAACGTCACCGTTCTCGACCCTCCGATGCATTCCGTTACGTTCTGCCCCGTCATCTCCAGATGGATCCCACCTGGGTTGCTGCCTTCTTGCTCGTGCACGTCGAAGAAAGCCCTCACCTCCGCCTACACGGAAATTCAGACAGGCCAATGTTAGATTGGGAACGTGGCAATGTAATAATACGCATACACAAATATTCTCCCAATCAAGCACATGGAAAAAAGTCGCTTTCGACAAGTTTTGGCATGGCTCGGCCCTACGCGATTGAAACTCCAACATTGCAGTGCTCTGTCCCACAAGAAAAATGCCAATTTTGTGCGAAAACAATTCTCGTGTATAGCCGAGCGCCACGACGCGTATCATGTGAATATCATAGAAATCATTTTCAGGCTACTACTTGCATGTAACGGTTAGGTAAAAACATAATATGAATATGACGGCAGTTACGATGCTGCTGATTATATTTAAACCAAACAGCAGATTAGATATAGATCTACAATACACATATAAGCATAATAATGTAAGTGGAGAAGTTAAATTAATGAAGGCGAAAGACATAAAAAAAGAAAGGAAAGGAGCATTTTTACCAAGATTGCATCGAAAGCGCGGGTTTTGAGTCCACAAGGTGCCTTGATGGTGTTCCCATGCATAGGGTCACAAACCCAAGTCACGATTTGCCCAGCCTGTCGAACGGCCCTGATCAAATGCGGCAGCTTAACCCTCATGTTTTCGGCACCCATTCTGACTATGACAGTTATCCTTCCCGGCTTGTTGGTGGGATTCAAGATGTCGATCAATTTAGTCAGTTCATTCGGGTCCATCTTTTGGCTCACCTGAAGAAGCATTTCCATGTAATTAATTAAGTCAATTCAATAATGATCGTATTCACTATTAACTTCAAATTATGCTTAGAACACGCACACACAGACAAAAGACGAATCTTTACCTTGATGCCAAGTGGATTGGCAACTCCTCTCAAGAATTCAACGTGCGCACCGTCCAGCTGACGTGTACGTTCACCGACCCAAAGCATGTGGGCAGAGCAGCCATAATAGAGGCCAGAAGTCGAATCTTTTCTAGTGAGGGCTTGCTCATAAGGCAGCAGCAAGCACTCATGGGAGGTCCAGAATTCTGTTGTCGACATAACAGGATGATCAACGGTAAGCCCAGCAGCCTCCATGAATCCCAAAGCCTCGTCGACCCTGTGAGCCAATTCTTGATACCTGAAAGAATCAATCATAAATACATCAGCAATAAATGACATAAATAAGGCCAAAACAACAAACATTTATCTTTCAATCATCGAGGAATCACACCTGTCACCCTGCTCGCTGTGCTCGACAAAATCAAGATTCCACTGAGTAACCCTCTGCATCGCAGCATATCCACCAGTGGCAAAGGCCCGGAGAAGGTTGAGAGTCGATGCAGCCTGGCAATAAGCCCTTATCATCCTGTGGGGATCGGGAATTCTTGACTTCTCATCAAAGGAATCGCCGTTGATGTTGTCGCCTTTGTAGCTCGGCAGCTTCACGCCATCTTTTTCCTCGTACGGGTCCGATCTTGGTTTGGCAAATTGGCCAGCCATTCTTCCAACCTAATCAATAAACTCAACTCGATTACAATTAGATCAAAAGGTGCTAATAAGTTTGCAATTACATTTTCAACATCATCTCAAATTACAGTAAAATTAGAAATTCAGCAGAATTATTTTCTAAGATTTGTACTTATCATTAAACAGCCTATATATAGGCATGATACTTTCTAGTGAAAATATATCACAGAGTAATAATTATTTGCCAATCTATGGATACTGCCAAAACCTGATCCAAAAACTCTCAAGAATTGTTCATTGTGCGACCAAAATACTTTCAACAAAAACATATAAAATTCAAAGCCTTCCCTGTTTGTGATGGATTTGCAAAGCCCGCAATTAAAGCATCTTAGGATTCATCTACTACCGAGAGAAGAACTTTTGTTTTTCAAAAAATAGTGTTTACAGCAAATGGATTTTAAAAAAGTTTAAAGCAAAGGATAACATCAATGGTGTTTCAATCTGTAAGTAATACTGTTTGAGCGTCAGAGCTTCTACAGATCTACAGATTTAGTAAAACACATCACAAACCGTAACTCGATAGCAATTAGGTTTTTCCTTCAAAATCAAGGTTAGAGGGCAGAAATGAAGATTCTCACCTTAACAACAGGCAACTGGCCACCGAAGGAGAGGACAACGCTCATCTGCAGAAGAATCCGGAAAGTATCTCGTATATTGTTAGCGTTGAACTCCTTGAAGCTCTCGGCACAGTCGCCGCCTTGAAGAAGAAAGGCTTGTCCCAATGCGGCCTGCGCCAGTCTTTCCTCCAGGCTCCTGACCTCCCCGGCGAACACCAGCGGCGGATACGATTCCATCGTCTTCAGCACCGACTCGAGCTCCGCCTCGTCGGGATACTCTGGAAGCTGCAGCGCCTTCTTCGTCTTCCAGGTCTCCGGCGCCCATTTCTCAGCCGACTTCTTAACCGGAGCGACGACCGGCTTCTTCACCGGCTCAGCCGCATGCACGGCCGAGATGTTGCGGCGCACGGCCGGAATCGATGAAGTGCAGGGGATTGTAGGAGAAAGTCCCCCAGGGATGAGATTCTGCGACTGGATTATCGATTTCGACGACAGGACGGCGGCGTTCGGTAGAGCCATTACTGAAACGGTAGATTAGCCCCTCAGATTCAGATTTCCGCTCCTTCCTGGCACAAAATCGGCGAGATTTCAAGGATCTCGCGACGCAGCCGGAATCTGGGTAATGTCCAGAGGAAGAACTGCAGGAGCGGTTTATATAGAACGGCTAGGTTGGGGGGGAGGATGGAGGGGGTTGGTGGCCTTTGGGGGAAGAGTCAAAGAAGTATTGCGAAGGTTAGGTTTCGGTGTTTCTTTAGAAGGTTGTTAGCCCTAAACGTACTAAAAATAAATACTAATAATATTAATTAATAACAAAATAAATATTTGGAAAACAGATTTTTATTTTATTTTAGTCAAATGGATCTGTTTATACAACTAATTGTTTTTTATTTAATATTTATTTTAACAAAATATCATATTTCGTCGTAAATATTCATGGATGAGTTTTAATAAAATTGAATAATTATTATTATTTTTTATATTAAAAAAAATGTAAAAAATATAATAATTTTTTTAAAAAAAAGTAAATATTTTTTTATAACAGAAAAAAATATATATATAAATTTGAATAACAAATTAAATATATTTTTTCTATAAAAACATCTAATCAATTTTTTTTTTTTAAATTTTCAAAAATCCTTTTATGTAAACAGAGTCAATTTGGAATCTTTGCATTAGTTATTATGGAAATAAGGAATATTCTCTTGGGTGTGTACGTTTGAAATTTTTTTTTTTTTTTTTCAAATTTTACTGATTTTTTTTTTATTTCAAAAATATTAAATTAAATATTTATTTTTTATTGTTTATATTTTATTAAAAATTAATTTTACATTTAAAATATCACATCAAAATATATTTATATCATATTATTGAACTATTTCAATTTAAATTTTTTACTATTTCAATCCAAACTCCCAAACAAACAAACCTTGATTAATATTCCCTCCGTCCTTGTCAAGATGACCCCTTTGCTTAAGAATATGGTATTTTAGGTAGTGTAGATTAATAAGTTATTAATAATAAGTTATGATTTTTATTATTTTTATATGAATAGTGTTGTTAGCATTTTAAATATTTTTAGCATTTTATATCAATAAAACATATACTATATGGATATCATTTTGTAGAGAATAAAATTTATATAATACAAATAAATAAAATATTTATTTATTTATTTATAATTAACTTAAAACTAATTTATTAAAAATAAAAAGTTTTAAATATAGATAAAAAAATATTTATTTATTGAAGAGAGAGATAGAAATAAAGGAGTTTTGAGTGGATCCTACGTGTAAGAGATTAAAAATTTAATTAAATTAATTTATATTTATTAAATATGTTTAAGATGAATAAATTTACTAAAAATTATAAATGAGTCATCTTTAATGGACGGACAAAAAAGAAAAAAAAGGTCATCTGTCTCGGGACGGAGGGAGTATTTCATTTGTCCTACTTATATATTTTTTTATTTTTATCTGTCACATAATAATTAACATTTCTTATTTAGTACTAAATTAAAATATACTTAACAAATATCCAACTTAATTAACTACAAACTACATAACATCATACATTATATAAAAATCATTCAAAACTCTTTTATTCTATCGTTCTCTTTAAAAAAACAAATATTTTTATCTACATTTACAACTTCACCTAGTTTATGTTAATTATAAACATATTTTTTATTTACTTTTATTATAGAAAATTTTATTTTTTACAAAATAATATTCAAATTGCATATATTTTTTATTGCAATATAATTTTAAAATATTGAAATACATATTTTATTTTTTAATTATATATATTAAATTTATTTTAAAATTATCAAAATTATTAATTATGCAAAAAATAATAAAATATCATAATTAACTATTATTAACTAATTAATATTATTTCTTTTAATATCGTATCAGTAATGAAAATTGTCAATTATCATGAGACGGAGGGTATATTTTATTTTTTAATAAATTTTATTTATTTAAAATATATTTAACAAATACTCTTCCTCCGTCCCACCCCAAATGGATCCTTTGAAATTTTGTAATAAATTAAAAAAACAATATTTTTAATTTGGACGGACTAGATATAAATTAATTAAATTGAATTATAACACATAATGCTATACATTATGCGACTCGTTCGAAATCATACAATTTTTATTTTTTTTTCAATAAATAAATATTTATATATATTTAAAACTCTCAATGTTTTATAAAACTAACTTATATTAATATACATATACATATATTATATTATATTCTCTCTATCCTTAGTCAAACTAATTTTTTTAAATATATTAAAAACAATAGTATTTATTGGTTATTAAAAATATATAAGGTGGTGTTAATATTTTTGCTCTTAAAATACTAAAAAATAAATATTTTTATAAAAATTATGGATATTTTGGTATTTATATATATATTTGTTGATGTAATTTTTCAACAAAAATAAAATAAAATTCAAAGATATAGAAAATATCCTTAAACTTGATTAATTAGTGCCTGAGATTAGGAATCTCTAAACACTGTATGGTACAGAAAATAAACTGGAAAATAAAAGATTGAAATTTAAAGTGGTGATCCCCAAATCTGACTTTGCTTTGTTGAAGTTGATTGAAGATGCCTTGCCAAATGATTATCCAAGCCTTTAAATATTCTCTGGGAAACCGTACCGAAAACCGTCACCCGAACGGTTACAACGTCTCCTTCCCAACCGTCTTCCAACCCTTCTCATGCTGACACGCGTCCCCAGCAGACCAAAATTATCCCTATATTTCACTCTTTGAGCCGACCACAGACCTTCCGCTCTTTTGGCCCGACTGCCAATCTACAATAGTATGGGTCCGACTGCCAATCTACAATAGTATGGATCCGACTGCCAATCCTCCCGACTTGCGAACCATCTGGCTTGAGGTCTTTCCGCCTTGAGGACTTCCCGACCTGAAAACCTTCCGACTTGAGGTCTTTCCGTCTTGAGGACCTCCCGACCTGAAAACCTTCCGACTTGAGGTCTTTCCGCCTTGAGGACTTCCCGACCTGAAAACCTTCCGACTTGAGGTCTTTCCGCCTTGAGGACTTCCCGACCTGAAAACCTTCCGACTTGAGGTCTTTCCGTCTTGAGGACCTCCCGACCTGAAAACCTTCCGACTTGAGGTCTTTCCGCCTTGAGGACTTCCCGACCTGAAAACCTTCCGACTTGAGGTCTTTCCGTCTTGAGGACCTACCGACCTGAGGTCCTTCCGTCCTGATGACTTTCCGTCTTGAGGATCTCCCGACCTGAAGACCTTCCGACCTGAGGTCCTTCCGTCTTGAGGACCTACTGACCTGAGGTCCTTCCGTCCTAATGACTTTCCGTCTTAAGGACCTCCCGACCTGAAGACCTTCCGACCTGAGGTCTTTCCGTCTTGAGGACCTACCGACCTGAAGACCTTCCGACCTGAGGACTTTCCTTAGTAATAAATCTATTTTCCTTGATTTCCTCATGGTGCCCTTCAGTCAGTTCAATCAACTCTATTGCCAGGCCCATTCTTCTTTTTACCTTGGGCTTTTAACCTAATTCCAAATTTCGTACGTAACAACTTGCCCGCCGCCAAGGGACTTTCAAACGCCATTTAACAATCAATGTTTGGAAGTTCATAAATCACCACCCTCTTGAAAAACTCCCTTAGCAATTGCACCAGTTACTGCAACACTCCTGATTAACTTCCTTCTCCGCAATACAAGCTTTTGTGAATCACAATCCCAAAACACTCTAACCATGGCGAATCAATACATTCCTGCCCTTCCCTTCGACGGAACCCTCCCGGAGGGCCCATTTTCAGCCTCGAAAGTACTAACTCCGGCGATCCGTCCATATTGCACTACTCCTGAAGATTCAAATCGGATGAGGGAAGTCTTGGAATCCCGAAATTCCTTGGCTATCAACAACCCTAACTACCAAGCAGTTCGCATTCGAGACAGCATCAAAACCCATCTCACGGACCCAAAAGATCCTTACCGCGCTTGGTATCGACGGGTAGCAGAACACTTCCAGACCCAATGGCGATCCCAAAAAATCGACCAAGCAATACTACTGTCCACCATGCCTATCAACCTGCATGAGAAGGTGCTGTTGGCCATGTCTGCCTTCTGGAATGCGGAAAATGGGGTTTTCCTCTTACCATCGGGCCCCTTTGGTCCAACTCTTATGGATGTGGCAATGATCGCGCATCTCCCAGTCGTGGGTGAAGACCCTGTGATGGGAGCCCTAGTTGGGCAGGAGCCATCAGAAGACCATCCAGGATGGTCTTTACAAGGTGTGAAGGAATGGGGTTGGACAAAGTTCGCAACCGACCAACAAGGGGCGCCAGGGACCCCTGTGACCGACCGGGAGCATACTGCCTTTATTCTTTTTTGGCTTTGTAGGTACGTCATTGTTTCCCCTTCCAAATGTGTTCTTCCTTCTCATCTCGACCTAGCCATTCATATCACGTCAGGTCGTTTTTTCTCTCTTGGCACCCTGTTTTTAGCCAATCTGTTTGAAGGACTTACTAGAGTTAGCCTTCGTTTAACAGATAATGATAATAGGAAATTAGACACTGCCGCGTCGGGTCCTTTTTGGTTTTTAGAACTTTGGTTCCGGCTTTACTTCCCCAACGCGTTTAACTTAGGATCTCCGCCCACTATGCCAACAGCTGAAAAACATTTGGGATTAGCCCTTAACCGACTCTGCTCAGGACGCAATAAACTCCAATCTTCCGATCCAATAATAATCGCAGTTTTAACAGATACCCGCAGTAACTCTCGATTTTCTATGTATAAAAAGTATGCGGGCTATGCTCCCGACCATTTTTGGCCTTTTCCAGTACCAAATCCGCTTCCGACTCCTGAGCCTTGTCCTCATTCCACTTATCCTTTTGCCTGGGACGTTGCCCTCAAACCCAGGTCTCTTTTTAGTAGCAAAAAACTTGATAAAAAGGGGCAGAAAACCTTTTACACTTTTAATTATGAACCTCAATTCATGGCGCGCCAGTTCGGCTGTTGCCAAGGTATCCCTGGACCCGTCGCGTGTCCGCATATAATTTTTCAAAGCCCTGACCGACGAGTCCTACCGAATTCAATCCCTTCTTATATCTCCCAGCTCACCACGTATATAACTTCCAATTCTTATATTCCTTTCCGCTCCAACCCTGAGACTGTAGAAACATTCAATGAATGGTG